GTGTGGCAGGCAGAAGTCCAGACCAAAAAGACCGACCTGGAGAACCTGGATGAAAGATATGAGAGTTTCAGGAAGGTTGTGATGGAGTATGAAGCAGCAAGAGAAATTGAACGCTTGGAGAAGGAGGAGGAGGACAGGAGGCACAGAGCTGCTGCAAAGATCCAAGCATGGTGGAAGGGCTGGATGGTCAGGAGAGGAATGAATGCAGGTTTCAAGAAAAAAAATAAGAAAAACAAACCAGTCAAAAAGTAACTAGGAATATAGAGGAAATTTTAATAACACTTGAAAGAAACATTGCAGGAAGGACAATATTTTTTAACAGAAACAGGTTAAATAATTGCATTAAAAAATATGTCAGTTGCTGATGGTAGGCCTACTAAGACTGAAGGGATTTGGCTTTTACATAAATTGAAAGTAAAGTCAACACTGATGTCACAAGCAGGAAAAAGTGCAGATCCATTCTAGGTAAAAAGTATATATATATTTATGCATGTATGTATGTATATATGTGTGTATATATATGTATATATACATATATGTATATATACATATATGTATATATACATATATGTATATATACACATGTACATATATACATGTATGTAAATATGTATAAACACATATGTAGATATGTATGTATATGTATATATATATTTAGCTGTGTGTGTATATATATATGTGTATGTATATGTATCTATGTATATAATTATATATAAAATATATAATAAATATAATATATATTGTTTATATATATATATGTGTGTGTGTGTGTGTATGTGTGTGTGTATGTGTGTGTGTGTGTATGTGTGTGTGTGTGTGTGTGTGTGTGTGTGTGTGTGTGTGTGTATGTGTGTGTGTGTGTGTGTGTGTGTGTGTGTGTGTGTGCGTGTGTGTGTGTGTGTATCTATATATATATATATGTATCTATGACGCTGAACCAATTCAAAGATTTATCCTGCTGTGTGGGAAGTCTGCAGGTTAGTCGTAATCCATACAAGAATGACATGCTAATCTAGATGTAAAATCATGAACTGAAGACAAAAGGCAGCTGGATAAGTAACTTCATGTAATAAAGTTCTGTATAATATATGGCTGTTAAGATATGAAAAATTCTGAAAACACATAGAGATTGGCATCTATAAAAGATATCTTCCTGAAATGAATTTGCCTCTAAACGATGAATTCAAGAGAATGAAAAATTGTGAGATCAGAAGTGGACTTTCAAAACAGGTAAAGAAAACCTTTTAAATAGACTGATCCTTTTAATGCACCATCAAAATGTGACATTATTTATTTTAATTAAGAAGTATTTCCATGTTGCTATTCATTCTTTGTCATTAACTTTATTTTATTTTATTTATTATTTATTTATTTATTTATTTATGTATTTATTTATTTATTTATTATTATATTTTTTTAATTTTTTTTTTACATACCAAGTGTCCAAAAAGAAGACACTTTTTTAATGATAGAGCCTTTTTTATGATGGTACATGTTTGCTTCTGTTAGAAAAAAGGGCTGTAATTCGTTTTCTTAATAGAACTATTTACAATTGTTAGTGGTTTCCATGAATTAAATATCTACTCTTCGTGTACAGGCTTCAAAATCCCTTACTCAATTAGTTGATGTGTCATCATAGATTAGTTTTAATTCTGAGATGGAGGGTGTGTAATAATTTTTGTTATTTGCTTTATTTGAGAGAAAATAGTAAGCCAAGTGAGGCCAGAGCACTTATGAATTGGTACTACGGCTTATGTCATTGCACAAGAATTTACAAGTGTAACAAAGAGATGCTTATCAGTCTTTCCAACAGAATGGTAATTGTTGTGTAAAAGCATCAGTATAACAGATGCTACATGAAAATAGTGTACTTAAATTACTTATATACTAAAGTAATTTTATACAGTGATTTTGTTTCAGTAATATCTGTGACCGGTTTTCTTGTTCATTGTATGTCCATTTTTGTTAATTTTATATAGTGGCTTGAGTAATGGAAACATTTTATTTTAATATTTGTAGATGTACTTTAAGATTAATTTCTTAATGCCAATCAGTACTCTCTGAGATGCACTGTAGAAAAGGCAAATTTGATAATGTGGAGTATGTAAGCATAATGATTAAACAAATTGCTATGTTTGCATATAAATTGAATTATCTATAAACTGTAGTCCATATTTTTCATGGGCATTTTGTTGAAGGGACAAGATTGAGTGGTGTGGTGACATGTCTCATAAATAAAAGAAAAAGTTGTATATATAGAAATGTATTCTATTTACTCATGTTTATACCATTATGTTACCCCCTATTTATTCACAGAAATAGTCTATGAAATTCATATATCTAGATTGTTTATTATCTTTCCAGGGACAAGCAGCTTCAGAGAAATACGTCATTAGCAGCTGCATCTGCATGATAGCTACTGGCTGTAGAGATTTTATACTCTGTCAAGATTAATAGGACAATTGGTAAGTTACAGGAGAAAATTGCATGACCTGACACTACAGCCCTTTGTAAGACAATAATAGTATTTTATTTATTTTCTTGTTTGGTTCTAGAGTATGTGGATGTTGTATATATAGGCAATGGACTGGAGAGTTTCCAGGGAATGTATGAACTATGAAGGTCAAGTATATTTTAACTAAGATTATTTTAAGCAATAAAGAAATATGAAATGTGTGTGTGTGTATGCATGCGTGTGCGTGTGCATGTGTATTAGTGTGTGCACAGGCGTGCGTGTGTGTGTGAAATTGACAGACTTCTATACCTTTAAAATTAAACCCAGAACTATCTACCCACTGGAGCATTCTCACATATCAAGGAAAATACACCAAAACAGCTCGGGAAATGTTTCCCGTAGTGGTTAGACTATGTAGCTATGTCTTGGGAAATTTAATTTTAGTGCAATAAATATTTTCCTCAACTTTGCTAGCGCTGTTTTAATTTCATAGCCAAATAGTTTTCAATTAAGCCTGGTCTATATATTTCATGTCACTTCATCTTGTATTTCCAATACACTTTTGTCTTATCGAGTTACCACACAAGAACAACATATGGAGTTTATCTACATTGAATAAATACTGAAGTATAACAAAGAAAAATGAGTAAGTCTCAGTAAGTATTATTTTTTTCCTTTCTACTACAGATCCTGTTTCAAGTCACATCACCTTGATGCTGTTCTCAACCACCTAATAAGGTATATGTGAAGAAGTGGCAATGTATAGGCAAATAGTTTGACTCTGGTAGGTGAATTATTGTTATTGTTATTATTCTTTATTTGTTTGTTAGTTTAAATTGCAAACATTCAGAGGTAAAAGCATTTAGTGCTAGGGGTAGTCTCATGAATGTTTTCATACATTTTTTTTTTTTTTTGTTCTCTTTATTAATTTCCATTGGAAAAAATATGTATACATTTTTTTGCCTCTGTGTATACATATGTGAGTACTTCTGTGCTAGAAGGCCACAACCACCACATATAAAAGGTGCCCAAAATACTGTGGAAACATAAAGCATGTTAGGGAAGTTTAATACAAACGATTAACTTTATAACTGAAATATGTAGGGCTATAAGTTATAATATTATTTCTCATGTTCTGAATGGTGTAATCTAAAAAATGTACAGTCAGCTGTTGATTAACGATATTAGCCGAATTGAGTTAGGGGAAACATAGAGATTATAACTAGTCATGGCATTGAGAATAACATTTACCTTGAATTGTCTAATCTCTGGATAGATTATAGCAAAAAAAGGATTGTTCTTAAGTAAAATAATCATAATCACATAATAGGGGAAGTTTATTAGTTGTATATTTGCATTATTACCATAAATTTTTAGTTTGGTATTTGGTATGGGCTGTGTTTTTTACTTTTTTTTCTTTTCTTTTTTTTTGTCCATAATCCCCAATCACTTTCATGCAATGCTAATCTTACTTAATCATGAAGATATCAAGATTTTTCTTACGAGTTACAAAAGGTGTGAGAATAAACCTCCTAAATGATTGTTTTGTTCTGATCACTAATTTAATTATTACAATTCACTGCTTTACCTCTTTGTCTGTTTTCTTTGAGAGAGGTAGAGATCCATCTAATGTGTTGATGGTGATAATTATTTGAAATGTTGATAGCTTGGTGATAACGATTATTTGAAAATTGCCAAGGTGATATTTGTGTATTTCTAATGTTACATTCAGCTACTATCACTAACCTCTAATGAGCAAATTTAGCCTTGTTGAATAAAACTGTATAGTCACCTAAACACTTTCAGAACCTCATGAATTTGAATTAGAAATATTATGGACCCTAGTTTAACCCATTGTCGCTGGGGAAAATGAACAAAAAATGGGGGAAATGCAGTACTAATTTTTTATATTTTTGTGAAATATCTCTGTCCATAGATGGCTCTGCTAGTCCTGATTTCACCTTTCCTTGAATTGGCAGGAAAAAACATATTCTTACTAGTGCTATAAATAAAATTAACAGCAAATTAGGATAACGTTAAATATTTTCGTAAATCGATGAAAAAGGTGAACGGGCGAGACAGGCAGTACTTGTAATTGGCTCATTGGATACTTAGTACAAGTCTAGCCATCTATGTGTAAAAACAATTGAACAAGTCGACTCACAGTGGGCATGGCATGTACGTACATGCCATACCCGGTGGCAATGGGTTAAATGTAACAAAAGTGTTCAGAATCTACAATTATTAACCCCTGGCCATTTTCAAAAAAGATCAGTTAGTTTCAGTTGCCAATCACCAATGGCAATTGAATCTGTCTTGGAGTTCATTATGTTAGATCTAGAAAGTAATTAGGACTCAAAATTTATTTGGTTTGTAGAATAAAGATACAGTGCAGTTTATCCTGGCTGAGGTACTTGCCTGAAGTAAAAAGATGCTTGTGGTCTTGTCCAGAACTGCTTATGTATTTATATAAATATACAGTATACAAATAGATAGATAAAAAAAAAAATAATAATATTTTGTTGAAAAAATATATGCCTTTATCTCCTCTGGATCTCTAATCTCCAGTATTTGAAAGGAGAAATCAATTTTTGTTTTGTTGACTTTCAGCAGGCTGTGGTATGCCGTGTTCCCCATGCCATGTTATCCAGGATGCAGCATACCTTCTACCGCAACTCTTCTCCTAGAGGCAAACTTCACCTGCCGATTTCAGCCTGCCCACACAGTGAAAATCTACCCTCTCTGTCATCTCCTTCATCCTGTCAACTGCAAGCTCATCCTTTGCCAGGTGAACACTCTTTTCTGCAAGCTGGACTTCACTAGTCCTTACTCTGCCTCAAAATTGGGCACCAATGCACTTTAGGAGACTGGTGCCATTTTCATGAAATGTTTTTCTTAGTACAATTATGTTATTTCCAGGAGGCACACCAACAATTCCTTTTTCTGCCATCATTGTGACACAAACTATGAATTTGAAAGCAGCTCATATTGTGTTTCCTTATGGTGATGTCCACACTCCCAGACTAGTGGAATCTTCCCTGATAAACCTTTTTTCCTGCTTCCCTCATGCAAAATGTTACTTCTTCCTCTCCCTCTTGTATACCTTCCTTTCTTCCACCTCTTCAGACCTTGAAGATGAAGGACTTCAAAACTGCTTTCTTGTCTTTCAGAAAATTGTGTTTGTGCATAATCTTTTACACTGTTGTATCAACAAGGTAGATTGTTTTGTCATTCAACAAAGATTCTCTTCATGGAGTGCTGTGCAGGGAGGGCAAATGTGAATCACTTGCACTATTTTCTACTGCGTTATTCCATTGTAAATACACACCTCATTAACCATATCATTGTATTTGAATATCTAAATCCTTTGCATCAAATGCTTATTGGTTGTAAAACCTTGCTATCTCCCTATCATTACTGAAGAATGAGTACACAGGTAATGACCATGCATCTAATAGACCATCCTTTTATTGGGCATTTGGTCCAAGTGATTCACTCCTGCTCTCTCTGGGTATAAATTATCTGTGTCAGTGCTCACCTGCTTCATTCCATTATATATGTACACATCTTTTTTATATACATGTTATATTGAAGAAGTACTTAAATAATAAAATATGCTTCATATAAAGTCATTTCCTTAACCCATTACTTGAAAAAATTACACTTATCAGGCTAAACTATGTTGAAATTTTCTTTAGCAGTTATAACCAAATAAAACACTTCTTCATGTTGCCAGTACTAATGTAAAGGAAAGATCTACAATGATGACATTCTGTAGTCTAATAATATGGAAAAATGGTCAAAGTCATACATGTACACACATCAATCTTTTTTTTTTGCACAGAGAATACAATTCCCTCTGTAATCATTAGTTTTCAATAAACCACATTTTGTTTCTTTTTTTGCTATTTAACTTATATTAAATATTCAGGGTATCAATTGGTGAAAAAATGATCTTATCATTTCATATTCTTTCCAAAAATAGTATACAGTGAGGGTTTCAGTGTTACTGAGAGAAAATATGCATATTTAGGAATTTGGTGCAAGGATTATTTCTATCTGGTATAATTGCCTAAACAGAGAAGTCAATTGAGTAAGTGTATGCAAGAACCAGGAGAGACAAATACAAGAAAATTTACTTTGGCCGCCCTCAAATCCCACCCACATACACCCCAATCAACACTGCATCTTCCGGTTAGTGTTCTTTGGTGCAATGGCATTATTTTACATTTCTTTGGGAGGGTCAGGTCATGTCTAGGAGGCCCCGACTCCAGATTCTAATTGCAAGCCTAAACAATTTAAAATTTTTGAGGTTATATGGGATGGGTATTTGGACTCATGTTATATGAATATTAATAGTAACCCTTGAATATCACTTGGTTAATTTGTCTTACATGTCCTCATCATATATCTTAATTTTAAACATAAGACTGTTGGGCTCCTCAGTACTGCCAGTGAACCCTGCCAATGCAATATCTGGCATCTTTTAACCAGTTTCACCAGTTTCTTTGAACAGTAATATTCAGTTATATATTTGCTTTGGCAAATATCAGCATTTAATGTGATAAGTTGGCAATAATTTCCAAGTAAAGTATATCATTCTAGTAATGCTATTATCTGTTATGGGATGTCTCTTCTGCGAAATATTTTAACAGATGAGTGAAATATTTCCAGCTGTATCATAATATAATCATGAGACAAATCAAAGTATGTTATGTGCTTGATAATTATAATGTAAGTATAAGTTTGCATAAACCCATTCACGACAGGTAAAAATGAACAAAAAATGGGGAAAATGCTGTGCTCATTTTTTATATTTTTTGTGAAATGTCTCTACACATAGATGGCTCTGCCTTACCTGATTTCACTTTTACTTGAATTGGCAGGAAAATGTATTTTTACTAGTACTATTAATATCGATGGTTATTTTTATTATAAACATTATAATTACAATAATGTTATAAACATTAGTAACAACAAAATAAGACAACATAAAATATTTTCGTAAATTAAAGAAAAGGGTAAACAGGCGAGACAGACATTACAAGTACAAGTGTAGCCATCTATGTGTAAAAACAATTAAACAAGTAAACTTGCAGTGGGCATGTCACGTATACGTGACACCCGGCGCGGATGGGTGAAGTTTATAAGGCAAAGCTGAAACAAATGTAATATGTTAAGCTCAACTGCAAGTGGCCAATGCTCCTGTTGCTCCCCTATCCACTTTCAGTGACACTTTTCCATGAATTGTGTGTTTCCTTTTTCTTCAGCTCAGAAGATTCATCCTGCCTTTGCTGTCTTTTACCATAAGTTTAAATTCTATGAGATATTGGCATTTTCTTTTTTTTTCCATTCATGTACATGTACATGTTTTTTTTTTGTCCTCCTTGTTTGTTTCTCTCCATTGGTGTTGTCTGCTTGTTCCATCCCTTGTGGGTGAGGGTGAGAGGGAATGATATTTATCTGTTTCTTTTTATTCCAACCTTCCTTATTCAGCTCTTGCAGCAGCCCTGGGGATTCCCCATATGATTGCTGTTTCTTGACAAGCAATTGCAGTAACAACCATCCTGCATGATTGGCAGAGAAGATCAAGCAGACATTGCACACTGTTGTAAAGGCTTCAAGGAAGACCAGGGTGTGCCTGGTAGTCAGGACCACAACTCCCCTATGCCAATGCAGCCCTCTCTGAACTGGCTAATCTTGATGAGCTTAATTTTGATAACAAAACCCATACTCTGTCTGTACATTTTGTAAAAGCCAGTTAATCATAATGATCCACTACTAGAAGGACATGCCCATGACTACTCCCTAACAGTGAATCCCAAATTAAGTTGGTAAGTTATGGTAAACCCCAGGTAGACTTACCCATGATTACTCTGTGCTACTGCCAACTTCAAGCAGGTTAGTTGTTATGTGCCCCTATTCTGTGTGAATTCACCTTTCTATGAACCAATTATTTGTGGCAGACCTTTACTAGGTGGTTGCTACATTTTATGAATGTTGTCCTTTTTGATGTGATCAAACACAGGTTGCCAAATACTGGTGAGTTTTCCTGCATATTTGTTGCTGTGAATAAACAAATGAGGGGTCTCATGATAATGTCTGGATACTATCCTCTAGTCACACCCACCATGCCATCCCCTTACTCCCATTTCCTTCCTAGGCTCTCCTCTTTTCAAGACAATCATGCAGTCATATTTCCTATGGCTACAATGCAGTGCATGCATAGTATTAATTATACTGCTAATCAAATCTACCCTCAAGCATTTTCTCTCCACCATTTGTGGTTGGAGCAGACAAACTGGCTGGCCTGCTACAGCAAACCCCTTACAACCAGAAACTCGCCAGGTTGACTACCCCGCTTCCCAAGTTTTCATCAAAGTTAATTTGGTGTTAATATGGAGCCACATCTACGTGATGCTGCTGCTCTGCCTTCCCTCACTCACTGGTTAGCAGGCCTAGCTGGAATCATATCCTCAGTCAGTCATTATATAGTTTATTCTTCAAGTCTAATTGCTTTCGTGGATAGAGGTCTGGCTTCATCCACATGTCAGTTTGAAGCGAGGTCTATCTCAGTATTTTATTGATATGTGCTACCTGTCATCTCATTGCTTATTGTTGCTTGAACCTCCACTCTCTGCTGCTCTGGCTCGCCACATGTCTCTGATGTACATCAATCACGTTTTTTTCTGCAGTATTTACATCATGGTGTTTCTTATTTAATTCACATACATGTTGACATTCCATGCTAGACTATGCTTTTCCGTTGCTGTTTTACCCTACTCAACAGTATTATACATATGATACCCTACCCAGTCTTACCAAAGTATCTTGGACAGTATGTTCCTTACAGACCTTATCTCTAATTTAGTATGGCACCTTCTTCCTCTCATGGTCTTGCATATGACACAGTCTCTACATGTGATTTATTTCTAGATTATCTCCTACATTTCTGCTTTAAAATGAGTGTCATGAAAAACACACCTCGTTCTACATACAAGGACTAATCATTTCTAGAGATTATGCACGCAGCCATTCTTCTCCCTGTGTTCCCAGTTACTTCTTCCCCTTGTATCTATAGATGACACATACATGCCTTGTTTCTATTATGATGTTAATTTTTTCGTTTTTATTGTAGATGATCATATTGGTACTACTTTATGCCCATGTTTTTTACGTAAATTTTACTGATTTACGTTCCCATGACTGTTATTCTTTGCTGATTCACTATCACAGTCATATGGCTGATGATAGTAATCTGTCAGCTGTAAGTAAGTCAGTAAGTTATTATTTTTTTTTTTTACTACATTGGCCTATGATCAATTCTATGTAAGTTCAATATAACTAGTTCTGTTTTTCCTTGCTTGTTTGTAGAGGTTAGTCTTTCCGCTTACCATTATTTTGTCTTGTCAAATGTGGTATTTGGCGAAGTCATTTTATGAGACGTCTTGGATGTCCTCGTCTCCTTAGGACCCGATGTGTTGTAGAAGGATGAATCGATCTCCGATCTTCAGGTATTGTGCAGCTTATCTCTTCTGTCAGTTTTTAAATGTTCATTCTTTATCTGTCGCATTGTTAGTTTTCATTCTCTCTGGTGCCCTCTAAAGTTTGTTTAACTCCTATGCTCCTTCTTCATTCTTTGTCGGAGGAGAGAGCATGGATTGCAGTCATCAATTTCCTGCCATAGACCGTTCATGATGTGTTCTCCTGTGTGCTCCTAGAGCTTATTTTCTTCTACAGCACATCAGGCACGGAGTCTTGTTATACAATGGCTTTCCCTTTTCACTCATAGTTGTCCTCTAAGTTTTGCAGACTACTAACGTCCTCTTTTTTTGTACAAAGGTGGATTAGGAAATTTGTGGACAAGTATACTTGGGTAATAATTCAGAAACAACATACTTCGTTCTCCATTTTCGGCATCTCTAGAAATGAAATTTAATTGTCACTCACAATGTGCACATTTAATAAATCTTCACAGATAGCATGGTGTAGAACCTACTAGCAAAGATTTACGTGGCCGATCTAGGCCGGACACGGGAGAGTATACATCCATTTATAAATGAATTGGGGTAAGGGTGCCCAAGAACAGCTGTCACTTCAGAGAAATTTTCTGCAGTGTCGAAGCTTTGTAAGGTTCCCGAAAATCCGATTCCGAGATTCTGGGGACTGATATAAGGGATGTTCTAAGGGATGTTGACAGCATTGTTGCAGATGATGACACTTAGACTTATGAATATAATTCTGAAAGTGTGTTTTTTTTTTCAGGTGAGATTTCTCCAATGAAAGTCAGTACGTTTAGTAGTGTGGGAAAGGAAATGTTTTGATCACTAATTTCTATTTTACTTCCGTACGACTACTCAGGCATCGCCAGGGATTTACGACTATCTGTCTTTCGAAGGTGTCCTCCCCAGGGACAAAGCATAGTTCACACCTTTTTGATGGCGTGTACTCTGATATGCAATAGGCCGTTTTTAGTGTGGTCATTCTCTTAGTTGTACTGGGTATCTTTCGTGATTCTGCGTACTCTTCTCCTCTCATACTCTTTTTACTGACAGTAGAGCAGTGGTGATCACACGCCAGGGTATTTTGTGATCATGTTTTGACCAGCCTTTAACGCACTCA